TCCTCTCCAGCTGCTTCTGCCTCTAGGTCTTCAGGAGCAAGTCCTTGGTGCCGAAGAGCTGTCGGGACCCTCCCCTCCTCCCCCCCACCCCCGTCGTCTCGGGGCTTTTCTCAGTCAGGCAGGTCAGTTCCCTGCTGCTACCGAGGATTTCCTTTTGCCTTCCAGAACTCAAAGCCCACACCTCGCGGTTCACTACTTTATCTTCCTGCTTCGTCTCCTGGGTTTTCCCCACGGGCTCCTTTCTCGTTTCCCCCCTGCGGACCATCTCTGGCATCGCAGGTCAAATCAGAGAAGCTGTAGGTCTGCGCTGCGTTATTTCCACATCTTGCGGGTTAAATTCCTGAAACTGAAGCTTTCCTTGCAAGACTTTCTCTGAGAGCCCGTCAGCGCTTTCCTCCCTACCCGGTTCTCAGGGTGTGTTCTCTGCAAAACTCCATCGTCTGTACATATGTTACTCCTGTTACTTTTCAACAACGTCAAGGTCATTGAGTGCTTGACGTTTAATTCCAGATTAAAGACTAAAATAAGAAAACCAAATGCCATGCCTGGTCCTGGGCGAGACCCTGGACCCCTGGTGAAATCTAAAAAAGGTCTATATATTGTACTTTTGCATCAGTGTTCACGCCCCGATTCAGATAGGTGTGCTGTGGTGAGCTGAAGGGCCAGTCGTTTTTCTTTTTTTTTTTAGTGTTTTATTTATTTCTGAGAGAGAGAGAGAGAGAGAGAGAGAGACAGCGTGAACAGGGGAGGGTCAGAGAGAGTGGGAGGCACAGAACCTGAAACAGGCTCCAGGCTCTGAGCTGTCAGCACAGAGCCCAGCGCGGGGCTCGAACCCACAAACTGTGAGACCATGACCTGAGCCGAAGTCAGACGCTTAACCGACTGAGCCCCCCAGACGCCCCAAGGCCAGTCTTTTCTTTTTTTTTTAATGTTTTATTTATTTCTAGGAGAGAGAGAGACAGCGTGAGCAGGGGAGGGTCAGAGAGAGAGTCACAGACTGAAACAGGCTCCAGGCTCTGAGCTGGCAGTCAGCACAGAGCCTGACGCGGGGCTCGAACCCACGAACCNACAGGCTCCAGGCTCTGAGCTGGCAGTCAGCACAGAGCCTGACGCGGGGCTCGAACCCACGAACCACGAGATCATGACCTAAGCGAAAGTCGGACGCTTAACCGACTGAGCCCCCCGGACGCCCCAGGGCCAGTCTTTTCTGAAGACACACATACTCATGTGTTGAGAGGGAGGAACAAAAGGAAACAGTGCCTTCAGCTTACTCTCAAATGCTTTGAAAAAAATGTTAAGAGTTGGCGAATCTGGCTGACAGATACACAGGATTTCTCTGCATTGGTCTTCCGACATTATCCCAAAATAAAAAGCTACATAAACAGAACACGAGAAAATTAAGGACATTCCTTACACTAATGAAGGCTGATACAGATAGATCTTTGCAGGAAGAGCTGCTAGCGGGTGTATTTTGGGGAAAAGGCAGGTAAATTCAGAAGACAGGAATGGGATGTGAAAAGATATGCAAGCAAAGAAACGAATAAATATATTGATAAAGCAAATAAGCACTGACTATTAATAATAGTGACAATGCTCAATATCACTAATCATTGGAGAAATGAAAATCAGACCCATAATGAGATTCTACCTCACACCTCTTAGGATGGCTACTAGTCAGGAGGCGCCTGGGGGCTCAGTCGGTAAAGCGTCCAATGTTGGCTCAGGTCATGATCTCACGGTTCGTGAGTTGGAGCCCCACGTCGGGCTCTGTGCTGATGGCTCAGAGCCCGGAGCTGCTTCAGATTCTGTGTCTCCCCCTCTCTCTGCCCTTCCCCTCCTTGCACTCTTGTCTTTCTCTCTCTCAAAAAGAAATAAATAATAAAAAAAAAAAAAAAAAAAAGGCCTCTATGAAAAAAACAAAAACAAAACAGAAAACAGGGAACGCCTAGGTGGCTCAGTCAGTTGAACATCCAACTCTTGGTTTCGGCTCCGGTCATGATCTCACGGTTGGTGAGTTCAAACCCTGCATCAGGCTCTGTGCTGACAATGCAGAGTTTGCTTAGGATTCTCTCTCTCTCTCTCTGCCCCTCCCCAACTCTTGTTCTCTCCCTCTCTCTCACTCTCTCTCTCTTTCTCTCTCAAAATAAATACACTTGAAGAAAAAAAAAAAACAGATAAAAAGCATTGGTGAAGAGGTGGAGAAATTGGAACCTTTGTCCACTGCTGGTGGGAATGTAAAATGGTGCAGTCACTATGGAAGACAGTACCGAGGTTGCTTAAAAAATCAAAACTAGAGTCACCATATGATCCAGCAATTCATTTCCAGGTATATATACCCCCAAATCACTGCAAGCAGAATCTCAAAGAGATATCTATATATACTCATGTTCACAGCAGCATTACTCACAACAGCCGAGATCGGGGAGCTACCCAAATATCTGCCATCAGACGAATGGATAAACCGAATGTGGTCTGCACATACCAGGGAATATTATTCAGACTTAGAAAGGAAGGAAACTCTGACACCTGCTACAGCATGGATGGCCCCTGAGAACACTGTGCCCAGAGAAAAGACGGTCACAGAAGAACAGACACGGTAGCAGTGCACTTATAACACCTACTTAGGGGAGTCGGCTTCTTAGACACGGAAAGTAGGATAATGGCTGCTGGGGGGAGGTGGGCAGGGGGTTAATGGGATGCAGGCTCTGGAGGCAGTGGTAACATACTCAACACCACCGTACCTTAAAAGTGGCTAAGTGATACATTTTATGTTAGATTTTTTTGGCCGCAATCAAAATCTCCAATACTGGGGCTCCTGGGTGGCTCAGTCGGTCAAGTCTCTGACTTGATTTTGGCTTAGGTCACGATCTCCCAGTTCGTGAGTTTGAGCCCTGCGTAGGGCTCTCTCTGCCTCTCTCTCTCCCTCTCAAAATAATAAACTCAAATAAATAAAATAAAATCTTAGAAAAAAATCCATCATAAAAAATACTAATGGGTAATTAGGTGGAGAGCAAATATTACATGAGAAAACTAGCAAGGCAAAAACAGGGAAAGCAGAATGAAAACTTTCTGTAAGGGCGTCTGGGGGGCTCAGTCGGTTAAGCATCCGACTCTTGGTTTCAGCTCAGGTCATGACCTTGAGGTTTCGTGAGTCCGAGCGCGGAGCCTGCTTGGGATTCTCTCTCCCTCTCTCTCTGCCCCTTCCCCACTCGTGCTGTCTCGGTCTCTCTCAAAATAAATAAACAAAACAAAAAAATTTAAAAAAGAAAGCGAGCATTTTAATAGATCATGTGCTGTTTTGAAAGAAGAGAGGCGCTATCTTTAGACTTTACTGTTCAAACGGGCACACACGCGACCAAGGAGCCTCAGGTGCCCAAACCGTGGTCTCTACGTACCATAGTCCAATAAAGGGAAGGGGGGCTTAGAGAAATGTTGATTTCAGGTCTAGGGGAGGGGACCATCTGGAACATCTTATTGCGGCAGAAAAGCAAGGGGACTCTCAAACGCCAACGGGCTGGTCAAAAAGTCCAGGCACCAGTAGGAACAACCACCGCGACAGCTTAAAGCGCATCAGGTGTGGAAACGTCCGCTTGGTTACTTGCCCCGGAGAAAGGAAAACCACCTCATTCGCGGCTCACTCTGGAAAGAAACACGCGCCTATACGTTCCCTTCTCCCCTCGGCCCACTAACTGGGGGTAGAGGTCACAACCCACAAAGACAAGAAAACCAAACTGAAGGGGAGCCGAGGGCCCCACAGTCGGGGCCGCGGGGCCTGCGGAGCAGCCGGCGTCTCCCTCCCGGGCAGGCCGGCCCCCGAGAGCTGAAGCCTGAGCCACAACGGGACGAGCTGGGACGCGATCTCACGTCTAGGGTCCAACTTAACCACCTGGCGCCCGAACAGGCAGCGCTGGTGAGAAAGAGGGGAGGGAAATGGTTCTCAAAACAGGAGGGCTGTTTGGAGTCTGGAAGAAGCACGGGTGCCTCACTCCCCTCCCCAGCGCTGCACAGCTGACGAGCGTCCCCGCTCCCGGGCAGGACACTGGACACCGGTTCTTCAGAGAGGGCCAACGGGGCCCTGTGACCCAGAGGACCGGGCGCGGCTGACGGAGGGGGCTGGCGCGGCAGAGCAGGGTCCGTGGGCTCACCGGGCACACGTGTTCTGGCACCGAGGCGCCTGGCCCGGCGGCCCCCCACCCCCACTCTTGGAACGCCGGCCACCAGCCCCTTCTGACCCCGCTAGGACAGACGTTCCTTTTCCAAAGACTCTAACTGCCCGAGAGGCAAGACCTAAAATTGGTGACATCAGAGACTGCCCAACAAACTGGCCCGGCCAGTCCGCCGTCCTGAGAAAGCACAGTGAACAAAGCCCAAAGTCAAGCTCGAAGCTTCCAACCAGCTTGCTGACGGCCTCCTCACATAGCTGCGAGCAGGCCCACCAGCCCCCCGAGGAGCAAAAGCCTGTGAGAAAACCAAGGCCGACAGCAGCAAGTCAGGAGCGCGCTGTCCAAAGTCGGCTTCGGCCCCTCCGGGGACATGGTATTGTGCACGCGAGTGACACAACTCCCTGCAGTTAAAACAGAGCGGGGGCAGGGCGCCTGGGTGGCTCAGTCGGTTAAGCGTCCGACTTCGGCTCAGGTCATGATCTCACGGTTCGTGGGTTCGAGCCCTGCGTCGGGCTCTGTGCTGACAGCTCAGAGCCTGGAGCCTGTTTCAGATTCTGTATCTCCATCTCTCTCTGACCCTCCCCTGCTCACGCGGTCTTAATCTCTCTCTCTCTCTCTCTCTCAGAAATAAATAAAACATTTTTAAAAATTAAAAAAAAAACAAAAACAAAAAAACAGAGCGGGGGCAAGACTAAAACAGCCCTGAGGAACTGAAAACATAAAGACATGGGCGGGTGCGGGCTCACGCTTGGGGTCAGGCTGGCCCCTGTGACCTCCGGGCCGAGCCCCCCCAACCCCCCCATCCTTCCCCCGGGCCCCGCCTAGCGCGGCACTCACACAGTCTATGTTCTCCGTCATGTTCAGGATGATGTAGTTTTTCCCGGCCAGGTTGCTCCAGTCTTTGCAGATCACCTGTACAAGCAACAGGAAGAAGGGTGACGAAGGGTGACGAAGGCACGGGGAAAGACATCCAGGGGAGCTCTCGCAGATGTTGGAAGGCGACGGCCAGGTTCAGGTTTGCGGCAGCTGGGAGGGGCCCACAGCCTCTGCAAGGTGCTGAACCTAGGCTGCGGCCCAAGGCTCACCCACCCAGACATGCCCCTCCTGCCCCCCCCACCCCCCCCCCGCACAGAGGAGGTCCCCAGCGAGAGGAGGGGCCCGGCGGCCCACGGCAACCCTGTAGGGGGGTCGTGTTCTGTGGGCCCAACAGGAAACAGGCCTGCGGGCCAGATGCACACACTGACAGACCAGGAGCCCCCTCCCTTCCATGGAGCGCCAGCGGGGTGCAGGGGGCCGGCCTGGGGCGTGTGCAGGGCCAGGGAAGGGAGCAGAGGTGGGCGCGGAGAGGGGGGCACAGGCCAGGCCGGGGGGCTGAGCCCTCCCGCGGCTTTCCCCTCACGGGTAAGTGGGGTGCGCCGCCCAGAAGTGCTGCCAAGAGGGGCCTCCCCCCAAGCCCGCGGACGCCCCCCTCCCCAGCGTGCAGCCCGGGGGCGACCCGGCTCCTCAGAGGACGGTGCGGCCAGACGGCCTTTACCTGCGCGGAATCCCAGGGTATTCTGGACTGGGCCTCGGTGGCCTGGCCTTCCTGGGGCTGCGGGCTCCGGTCCTCCTGGCCCGAGGTAGCAGAGGGGGGTGTCAGCCCCAGTTCGCGGGGGGCTGGCGGGAAAGGGGCTGAGGCTCCGGGGAAAAGCGGGTCTTCGTCGGGGGTCTCGGCCCCACTGGGAGCTTCCGTCTGAGGGAACGAGGCCGCGGATGGCGCCTCCTCGTGCTCGCCGCCTGGCCCCGTGGCTCCCGCGGTGGCCTCCTCGCTGGCCTCCGGGGGGGCCTCGAACTCCATGCCGCGCCCCGTGGCCGGCAGCACCGCGCCCCCTGCCTCCCGGTTCATGAAGTCCTGCCCCCCCAGGGTCACTGGACTCGGGGTGACCGCAGGCGGTGACAGGCCGGGCTCCATGCTGCTCCCCACCTCCACGCCCGAGGAGGCCGGGTCCCCGGGTTCCCCGTGCCCGCGTGGCGCCACCCCGGGCGCCTGGCTGCTGCCGGTGGGAGAGAAGCCGTGGACCGGGGTTTGGGCCGCTCCCTGGGGCCCGTTCACGGGCAGCAGCCCCTCCTCCTCCTCCTCCTCCTCCTCGTCCTCCTCCTCCTCCTCCTCCTCGTCCTCTCCGGGAGCCGTGTGCCAGGGCGGCTCCACCAGGTTCATCTTGGGCAGGGGGGGGGGCAGGCTGGGCGCCTCTCGGCCCTGGCTGCCGCCCTCGGCGGGACCCGCCTTCTCCGTCAGGTCTGGAAAGACGTAGTCTACGGACAGAGAGAGAATGCTCATTCGCTCGATTCGGCGTCCGTCAGCGACACGTTCGGTGTTCGCTGGGCAGACGACCTAAAGGGACCATGAGGCCCGCAGGGGGCGGCGGGGAGTCGGAAGGAGGGGAATAAGGCCGGATGGTGGGGGCTCGGGGGGGCAGGCTGCGGAGGAGACGAGGGCCAAGCTAGGCCCTGTTTCCTTCATGACGATGAAAAGGACACAAACCTGCCACTAAAATTCTATGAATGCAAGGAAGCGCACAGTGGAAAGAAAGCCTGTATGATCGCACCCCTCGGACAGGGCCCTCGGTAACGGTCCAGACGGCAGGTCAGCATCTTCTCTCATTCTTACAATGGGTTTGTTTCCTGATCTGTGGATCTCACCAAGGAGACTCAGACAACCCATCAGAAACGGTTCCCTCCCCCACCTCTCTCTCTCAAAATAAATAAACTTTAAAAAACCTTTTTTTAAAAAAAAAAAAAAAAAAAAGGGGTGCCCAGGTGGCTCAGTCAGTTAAGCACCAGACTCTTGGTTTGGGCTCAGGTCACGATCTCACGGTTCATGAGTTCAAGCCCCGCACAGAGCTCATGCTGGCAGCACAGAGTCTGCTTGGGACTCTCTCTCTCCCTCTCTGTGCCCCTCCCTCCCTCCCTCTCTCTTTCTCTCTCTCTCTGAAAATAAATTAAAACTTGTTAAAGAAAAAAAGTTTCCCGGGGCACCTGGGTGGCTTAGTCGGTTAAGCGTCCGACTTTCGCTTAGGTCATGATCTCGCGGTTCGTGGGTTCGAGCCCCGTGTCGGGCTCTGTGCTGACTGCCAGCTCAGAGCCTGGAGCCTGTTTCAGTCTGTGACTCCCTCTCTCTCTGACCCTCCCCTGCTCACGCTGTCTCTCTCTCTCTCTCCTAGAAATAAAAAAAATATATATATATATATATTAAAAAAAAGAAAAAAAGTTTCCCTTTATCTCTTTCCTAATGGGTTGTTATGGGAGGTCCCCTTGGTAAAACCCGTGAATGACATCTGAGAACCTCTGATCACCGGAAAAGATGGAATGCAGAGATCTCGGCCATTGTTCCGACACTGTGCTCTTTTGCTGAGCTTTAGGCCTTGGCTGGGAGATAAAAAAAAGAAGCCAGGAGAGCTCAAGAGAGTGCAGCGGCTGAGGCACATCGTGAAGTGCAGGACTTCCTAGCAAAGCCCAGGCCTCGCCAGGGTAACATGTAAAAATCACGAGCCAGTTCTGTGAAAAATTCCTTCCAAACACTGGAAGCTCTTTCTAAGGAGCAGCTCTTACTGGCTGCCATTTTGTTACAAAATGATAAATATCAAAGAGCATGTTAAAATGCACTTTAGACACGAGAGAAGTGGTTATAGTTGAAAGTGGGGAGCTGGGCCTCCTCCTCCGAAATTTCTATCAAATCGTAGAGTGGCTTTTCAACTGTCAGATTACATTTTGAAGGGTTTAGCTCAATTTCCAGAACGTGGCGAGCAGGTGAGACCAGAGGAACAGACACCCCTCCCTGGCCAAGACAGCGAGGGGGCAGGGTCTCTTCCCAACAGAATGAAGGACAGAGATCAACTATGGGAGCAGCAAGGACACACAACGGAGAAAATTCAAGGAAATGAAGGTAATGTTTACATTCCAGTTAGAATCTCAGAGACACTCAAAGTTACTGCATCCTTAAAATACAAAGAGGCTAACAGTGAAATCAAGTAATCTCTAAAAAAGAAAAAAAGGTTGTGAAAACTGGAAATAATTCTTGAAGTGTAAAAATTCAATAGAACAGCTGGAAGAAAAAAGTCAAGGAAAAGTCTCCAGAGCAAAAGTCAAAGGACAAGAGAGAAAAGTAAAAAGATACAAGTGGCCAGTGCAGGAGGTATAGCATCCATGAATATAATTTCCAAACAGGTAAGAACCTTAAAATGGAGAAAATAAAGAGCCAAACAAAGAAGAAAAGTTCCCAGGCCTGGCAGCGAGAATCTCCACACTGAAAGCATATAAAATTGAGGTGAAGGATGAAAGACTCACACAGAACCTCATTCTCATGGTATTTCAGAATTCTAAGGAGCAAGACAAGATCCTAAAAGCTCTCAGAGAAAGAACACATAAAGTAACAATAAAGAGATTATCAAATTACCATCAAGTATCTAATTTGTAACACTAGACTGCAGGAAGGAAATTGAAAATGCATTCAAGAGGTGTGGGGGTGGCTCAGTCGGTAAAGCAGCCAACTTTGGCTCAGGTCATGATCTTGTGATTCATGAATTACAGCCCCGCGTTGGGCTCTGGGCTGACAGCTCAGAGCCTGAAGTCTGCTTCAGATTCTGTGTCTCCCTCTCTCTCTGACATATCCTGCTCACTCTCTGTCTCTCAAAAATAAATACACATTTTTTTAAATGCATTCAAAATTCTGAGGGAAGTTTATTTTGAACCTGGAATTTTATACCCAACTAAACTATCATTGATATGTGAATACAACATACAAACATTGTTTCACACAGGCAAAGACTTAAAGGTCTTAGAATCCACAAATTCTGAGAGAAGTACCTTAGGGAGGCCCCCATGAAATCTAAGGAAGACCAGGAATCAAGAAACATGAGAAGGAGTCATGAAAATCAATCTCTGGAGGGAAGCTGCACAACAGGCCTAGAGAACAAGCATTCACATAAGAACATGGATCCACAGGGCTCTGAGAATTATTGCAAAAAGAAAACTGACTCCCTGTAAGAAAAATTATGATTTGTAGCTGAATGATCTTAGGAATAATTGAAAGCCCACTATAATATTTAAATGAATAATTAGAGGAGCACCCAGATGGCTCAGTCAGTTAAGCATCCGACATCGGCTCAATTCATGATCTCACGGTTCATGAGTTCAGCTCCACATTAGACTCTGTGCTGACAGCTCGGAGCCCGGAGCCTGCTTCAGATTTTGTGTCTCCCTCTCCCTCTGCCCTTTCCACTGCACGCACTCTGTCTCTCTCTCTCCTTCAAAAATAACTAAAGATTAAAAAAATTGTTTTTGTGAATAATTAGAATATTCTACCCTCCCCACTTTTGTTAAGTATACTCTCTTTGAGTCAAAGAAATGGGTAACTTGGTATCTTCCACTCCTCTCACTCTGTGCGGAAAGTTACCTAGTCCCCAGGCCCAGCAGCCAGTCACAGCACCAGTGGGGAGGCGTGCTGATGGAACGGAGGCCACACAACACTGAGGAGCCAGACGCCAGCCTCTAATGCTGAGCAGTCTACTATCACCTTGATAAATATGAACGAATGATCAAGGTTCACAGGACATTATAGGAAAGCCAGCCTCATGGGGAAGCACAAAGCAGAGAAAGAAAAGCAACCCACCTCTTAGAGAAGTTAATCCAGTAAACAAAAGAGAACTTAGAAAATTTTTATTAACACCTCTAGAGAGACTCAGGAAGAAATTATGCCCAGAAAACGAGAATATAAAAGAATAAAAATATTTTATTTCAATATAAGTAAGCACTTTGTAAAAGATCTGTTTCAAATCGAAATGCGATGCATGCAAACCTAACTGAAATGGGCTAGATGGCCACCGGACAGGAAAATGATACTACAGCATGTCAGAGGGAGCTGGGGAAATGGACACACAAAATCCCTGACACCAGGAGATTGTATGGCTAGGAGACTGCTCTGACAGCGGCGCGTGAGAATTGGACGAAAGAGGGGATGCATGCAAGCGGAGAAGAGCTAGAGGCTCGCTGCACCGTCCCAGGAGAGACAAATACAGGTAACGACATCGGGCGCGATGAGAGGACAGATTCAAGAGCAGGCCCCCAGGCGGACTTGGTAACCTGCGTGCACTGGCTGTTAACAGGAAGGAGCGGGCACTCTCTCTGGCTGGCTGTGGGGGCGGCCGTGCCCTCGGCAGAAATGGTGAAGTCTAGCAGTAACGTGCACTGGAAACTCTCCGGAAGTACTTGCGATAGCCAGTGGGCCCAGGAAAGCTGAGAATATTCTGCGGATGTGATGGGTGGTGGTGCACTCCAGCACAACCCCCCAGGGTGGGGGTGGGGGTGGGGGGTTCCCGAGAGGGCAAGCTGGCCAAAACAACCCCTCTACTCATTTGATGTGGATTTTCCAAAAGTTGAGCTCTCTATCCCTCCTCCAGAGACAGCCTGGCTCCCAGCAGAATTCCCTCGACAAAGCTGGACAATAGCAGCAATCATGCTATGGGTGACAGGGTCTGGAAGCCAGAGGACTTGGCCGTCATCATACCTGTCTAAGCAAAGGTCAGTCCCAGGGCTTCTCTGGGCTTCGGTTTTTCATACGACAAATGGATGCTGGCATATCTGATTTCTAAAGTTCTTCCTAGCACTGATAACCTACGCTTTGGAGACAGTTTTGATAAATGTGTCTCATACACCAGTGACCTTAAAAACAACTCCTCTACTGTCCTAAACATGAATAATACAGGATTTACGAGACCACAAAGTCTGATTGCCAAGCAAGGTGATTTTCTTCACCCCATGTGGCCGGCACCTAACACAGGGCCTGGCCCAGTGTAGGAAAGAGAGCGATGTGTGTTTGTGGGACTCCTGACGGCCACCTTCTGCCTCCTGACCCAAGACCTGTCCATTTAGGGAGAAAAAAGAGCCTCCAATGGCGTGGACGGCTCCCTCACTCGCTCCTCCCCCCCGGCTCCCTCCATGGGATTACTCCCAGGGAGCCCGGCCTTGACTCATCGTTTCCGCACTTGTTTCTCAGTGAGTTCTTGATTCCAAAGGCTTTCTCTATTGCTTCTATGCGAAAGACTCCCAAATGTACATCTCCCACCGAGCCTTCGCTCTATCAAGTGACTTGACAAATCACTAACAACACACCCTGGTGCTGGGACACAGTAGGATTCTTTTCCTACTTTTTTGTAACTACCTCTCAGCATCCAAAATTATTCTTCTTTTACAGTGTGATCTCAGTTCCACTGCTTATCAGCAGTGTGGCCTACGACATGCACTTGACCTCCATGTGT